TGTATAGTGACTGTGCTGGTCCCACTTAATTTGCATAGCCTCCTCCTTAAGATCCGGGGCCATGCACCCCTCATGACCTTCTGCGAGCTGCCATGCACATGTTCCCGCAAATGGTACTCAGGTAGAAAACTGGGCTTGTTTTTCTTGGACGCATCACGAAACGAAATTGTAGAGTCCGAGACAATGTGGACGGAATAAGACCAATACTTGTATGCCCCACTTTCCATTAAGCACAGTGAATGGAAGAAATATGTTACTGGCTTTCCTGTGTCCATCATGGCCGCGATATCCTCGCCAACAAATGGGATCCATGAATGTCCATTCACTCGGGCAATCTGCGTGATGGCCTGGCACTTTTGAAGAAACGTTAACTTAAGTGCCCAGTCTTTCTTCTGCGGGTCTGTGATATCGATGTAAAGCTGAAGAATCTCATTCACCTTGGATTGCCATTCGTTCGTTGGTGCCCTGGGATCCGGCGCAAAGTTCCTCTGCAGCCTAATCCAAAAACCCTAATAAAATATTTGAAATTTGAAATTTCATGTTTTCCTGCAACCCCTCTAAGAGGGGTTGCAGAATTATAGATTTAGCGAGAGAGAGAGAGAGAGACGATGAAACTGCTCGCGATGAAACGCCGGTCTCGAGGACTTGGACAAGACCGCTGGGGGCCCACGTCAGGAAAATATCACGACGAACAGGGACCTGGATCGAGGAGTCTGACCGTCTGGCACTCTCTCTGGGGCCTCGTGGGGCGACCTCGTGGCCACGGCTGAGTCCGTCTCGAGCTCCAGGTCGCCATCAAAGGTTGGCGGCGCGCACAATGTGGTATGGGGGGGGAACCCAAGGGTACCGATACCGCTACTCCCCTGAACTCTCCCGGGGCGCGTTCTGACGAGAATTTCGAAGCGAATCCAGCGGTTGCGACAAGGGCTCCCCAGGAAGCCCAAAAAGGGGGAACCGAGGCAAGGGCAGCGGTATCAGTACCCTTTCCTTCTCCGACCTGCCCCCCACGCGCGCGGCCGAAGGTCGCCATCAGGGGCCCGCAGGTCCAGCGGCACGCGCTGCTGCGCGCTCAAGCCACGCAAGCCGCCTCGCGGTCCCGAGCCCCGTCAAGCATCGGCCCCGAAGAAACACCTTGCCCCGTGGATGGGGTCGGGTCGAACCTTTCGGGCGGGCGCAAGTGGCGGCGCCGCGCGGGGGAGGGGGAGGGGGAGGGGGAGAAGGCATCGTAGAGGGAGAACGCTTCTTGGAAGGCGCGGGACCTGCCTCTACAGACAAGCCCGCGTCTTCTAAGAAGCAGGATGCCTTCCCCCCTCCCCCTTTCCCCCTCCTGCGCGTGGCCGAGACGGGAGGTGACCTGAATGGGATGCGAGGAACAGAGCCCTATAGGCGCCATGTTCTTCACCCCCAACCCATTACCACCCGTCCGATGGATGGGGTCGAGTCGAGACTTTCGGGGACCTGGCAAAAATTGCATGGGTCCTCGCGCCCGTCCTCGCGCGGGTCGTCGTCGTCGTCGTCGGCGGCGTCGTCGTCGTCCGTCGGTCGGGGTTCGTTCGCTCGTTCGTCGTCCGTCGTCGTGCTCCGTTCGATCGTCATCGTCGGCATCGTCATGGTTGTCGTGGTCGTGATCTTGGTCGTAGCAATGGTCGTCGTCGAAACTCAGGTTGTTTATAAACTCTGGCCGTCTTCAGGGCTTGCGGGGGCGGCCTGGAAGGCACGGTCGAATTCTCCTCAGGATACTGGTCGCGACAGGAAAGCGAAGTGCCGGCAAAGGCAACGACAAGGACTCGGAGGCGGAAGATCTTCACGTTCTTGCGCCGTCCCCAAATCACCTCGCGTCTTGAACCAGAACACAACTGTTGTTGTTGCTGTTGCCATGTTCGGCCTATTGGCCTCGCAGGGTCCCGGGACTAACAAAATTGACTCAAGAGGAAAAGCGAGTCCCAGGCAAGGGTCCGAAACCTCTGGGAACCGGCGCTGTCAACCAAAAACAGAACGGAGGATGCCTGGGACGGCGAGGGCCCGGATGCGGAGGATCTCGACGCTCTTGCACGCTCCCCATGCCCCCATCGCGTCGTGAACAAAAGCACGACGGGTTACAATCAAAAACGCTAATAAGGACGCGCGGTAAGGACGCAAGACCATTGGAAGCCGAACTCGGGATTTTTGGGGCGGCGGGCGACGAAAACCTCAAGGACGCAACAGCAAGGAAGAGCAAGGACGCTAGGGTACCCTGAGCAAACTCGCGCGTCCTTATTAGGGTTTTTGACTGTACTGAAGATGGAAAGCCGGTCTCAAGGAACGGGTCGAGACCTCCAGGGGTCAACGCCGCGAACAAAAGCATGACGGTGGATGTCTGGGACGACGAGGACTCGGATGCGGAGGATCTTGACGTTCATGCGCGCACGAGCGCAGCGGCAAAAGCTCCCCCATCGAGAGGGGACGATCCTGACAGCATGGAAAACTTCAATTGGCATCTGCCATGAAGGCAAACGAGGACCACGACGACGAGGACCACGACGACGCAATGCAAACGAGGACCACGACGACGAGGACTCGGAAGGGGGAAGACCTTGACGTTTCTGCGCCCTGTCGTCGTGGCTGGAGTTTCCCTCCAAGTGCGCCGTTCTGACGGGGCACGGCCCAGCAAGGCGCGCAAACCACGATATCTGGTGTGTCTTGGTTTGGGGCCTACAGTTGCCTGTTGTTGATCCAGGGGCTCCAGACAACCAACCTGTGAGAATTGGGTGCTGCCTTAGAAACAACGGGGCCAAGACTAAATGCCGCGCAAGGGTTGCCGCACTCGTCTCGTGGCCGCAGTCCCTGCGGCGTCTTCATGAGGCAGAAACTGGTACTGTGTGCTTTCTGCGTTTCCATGTGTACAATTGTTTTTGCGTGAGTTTGCGCGGTTGCATGCATGCCCACAGCACGGCTTGGGGGTCGCGGGAGAATCGCTCGCGCGAGTCGCGCGCGCGTCGCGGGTGTGGGATGCGGAAGCGCGTTGCATGGAAACGCGTTAAATTGCTGGGTCGCGGGCTTAGGTCGCGGGCGCAGGGCGCGAGCGCGGGTCTCGGGCGTGCATGACGGGTTGCGGGTCATCGTCCGTGCATCGGTGTCGCCGTTCAGCCACCGAATCAACAGGATCGGGTTGGTGCTATCGTTGCTCCGATCGCCACCAGGGTTCGGTGATACTCTGAGCCTCGTGAGACGCGCAAAGATGATTGGCGCCTAGGGTATCGTGGCACTGTGGAACATGATGAGACGCGCGGATGAGCTCGGCGTCGACATATCCGTGGCACTCGGAGCCCCTCTGAGATGCACGGATGTGCTCGACGCCGTAGGTTTCGCGGCACCTTGGAATCATTTGAAACCGTTTGAGACCGCAGTTCGGATTCACCTGGTGTGTGCGTGCGTGTGTGTGCTTGTTTGCATCACTCTTGGGAGATTAGAGAGAACGCGTTTCACGGGCGCTTGCCTGGGCAACCTTCGGCGGCGCGTTTCGAACCGAGGGGTGGGCCCCCCCGCCAACACCCGGCGCCGTCGATCATCCAAGGGGACTCCCCTCCCCCCCAAAACCCCCTCTCCCGACCCCCCCCCCTCCCAACGGAGGGGGGGCCCAAGCCCCCCCCACCCCGCCCTCCCTCGATGCCGGCGCCGGCGCTGGCGGCCGCCAGCAGCGCCCACGGCGGGGGCGCAGCGACGATGACCAGAGGCAACCCCAGGAGGGGAGGGGGGGGCCCACCCACCCCCCTTCGCGCCGGCGCCAGCGCTGGCGGCGGCCAGCAGCGCCAGCGCTGGCGCCGGCGACGGCGGGGACGCAGCTACGCTTACCACCACTACCACCAACACCACCACCACCACTACCACCACCACCACCGCCTCAATCCAGCACCACCACCACCACCAACAGCACCATACAACCACCACCACCACCACGACAACAACCACCACCATCACAACCACCACCACAACTCACCATCACCGGCACAACCACCACCACCAAAAACCCACCACAACTACCACAAACTATCGCACTACCACCACCAACGCCACAACCACCACCACTACCAGCAGCACAACCCACCGCCACCACCACAAACCACCACACCACCACCACAACCACCACCACCACCACCACACCAAACGTCCACAAACCACCGCCACCACCACAACCCACTAACACCACCACCACCACCACCACAATCCACCACCACACGACCACCACACGACCACAACCACCACCACCACCACAACTCACCATCACCACCACCACCACCACAAAAACCAACCACCACTACCACCACCACCACCACCACCACCACAACCACAACACCACCACCAACACAACCACAACCACAACCAGCAGCGCAAACCAACACCATCACCACAAACCACCACACCACCACCCGCCACCACCACCAGCACCACCAACACCACCAGCACCACCGCCACCACCACAACCCACCACCACCACCACCACAAACCACCACAACACCACCACCACCAAACCACTACCACCACCACTACAACCCACCACCACCACCGCCGCCACCACCACAAACCACCACCACACCCACCAAACCACCACCACCACGCACCGCCACAACCACCACCACCACAGCAAACCACCACACCACCACCACCGCCACCACCACCACCGCCACCACCACCACCACAACCCACCACCACCACCACCACCACCGTCGTCCTCGTCGACGCTCCCCGCCACCGCCGCCCGCCGCCGCAGGCGCTGGCGCCGGCCCAGGGATAGAAATCGTCGCCCCCGCCGCCGTCGCAAGCCGCCGCCGACGCAAGCGCCGCCGCGAGGAGAGGGGAAGCAATGGGAGGGAGAAGGGGGGGGGGGGGTCGAAACCCCCTCCCCTCCGTCACGGGAGGGGGGGGGACGGGGACGGGAGGGGTTTTGAACCCCCCCTCCATCCAAGGGGGGGGGGTCCGGTTTCACCCCCCCCCCTCCAAGCGACCACAGATCGCGCTCTTTTGGATATTTAGAAACCGATCCGAGAGAGACTCCAACTAGTTCCAGCACGGAGGGGCTGCCGCCCAAACGCGCTACATGCGGCGCATAATCTAAATCATATGTTTGGCCCGCATCGGCAAATTACGCATGAGTGGGTCGCGTGTGATGCGCCTGCTGGACAGCATCGTTGGCCTGACATTTATGACAATGCCGCCTTGTGGTACATCCCCACTATCATTTCAAATTCTTGCACAAAACGCTATAACCTGCAGCTGGGCCCGATGCACGAGCGTCTGAGCTGGAGCCTATACGCTGCGGTTGCACCGCGCAGCATTGCCCTCCGGCCCCCCATCCTGCCACACGGCGCGGCCCGTCACCCCTCCCTCCGACCATGTCCCCGCCCTGCTCGTCCGACATCCCCCCTCCTCCTCCTCCAACCCGTCCTCATCTTCCTCCTCCTTCTCCCCCTCCTCCCTCCTCTGTCTTCTCTCCTCTTTCCTCTCTCCTCCCTCCTCCCTCCTCCCTCCTCCTCCTTTCTTCCCCCTCTCCTCCGCATCCTCCCTCCAGCGCCCTCGAAGCCTCTGGCGGCCCCCCTCGGCGCCAACCCCCCTCGGGCGGCCCCCCCGGCCCCGGATCGTGCAACCCCTCTAAGAGGGGTTGCAGGATCCGGGGCCGGGGGGTCTCCCGAGGGGGGCTGGAGGGAGGATGGAGGAGGGAGGGGAGAGGAAAGAGAGGGCACTCCCCCCATTTCAGCACGCCTGCGATCCGCATTGTTCTCGCCGCCGTGCCTGCGCCCCTGTCCGCGTCGGGGCATGGACGCCACTGCATGGACGCCACTGCGTCCATCGGAGCATGGACGCCACTGCGTCCTCCGCTTCAGATGTCCTGACGGCCATTTTCGTCGAAAACGGTATTGTGCCGCTACGGCTGGCTCTCCGGCTTCGCTCTGGCCTTCTTCGCGGCTATCCTCCAGTCGGTCGGGGCCGCTTCCTTCTTCCTCTTCGCCTGTGCGTCTTCCATGATCAGTTCCTCGTCCGCCTGGAGATCCACCGCGTTGGTCGCCACTGGGATTCGGACGCAGATGACCCGACCGCAGATGACGATATTCACTTCCTTCGGCGCGAGCTCCACGTTAAAACGCGCTCGCCTCTGCTTCAGCGACGCTTCGCGTTCCAAGCTCTTCGGCCGTGAGCTTCGTCACGCTCCAGAAGGGGTGCATGGACCCCTTGCCCGCCCACTTCCACTCTCGTTGAGCGGGGTCCGTCTCCTCCACATCGTAGGACGTCTTGCCTTGGGGCGCGGCAAACTGTGGATGTATGTAGAACGAAGTCTTCACAGGCTCTTCTGGGTTCTTGGCCCACACTTCCACGTGAACCTTGTCTTTGTGGCTGCTCGCACCGCACACTTTGTTCTGCTTCGGCACACATGGCCACAACACGAGCTTGCCAGCCGCCACTGCGACTTTGGTGCACACTTTCACTTTGTTGCTCGTTGCGTGGCGGGTCAGGGCCACAGGTAGGTTCGATTCTGTGCCCTGTTCAACGCACGAAAAGAGCGCCAAGTGCTTCTCCCGTAGCACCTGCAGCACCGCTCCCATGTAGGCCTCCTTCTTGCCCATGTCCCTGGCGGCTGCCTGGCCCAACCACTCCGCGACTGGCAGTGGCAACCACATTGCTGGCCTCTCTCCCTTCATAACGGTGGCCTGTTCGTTCTCGCGGCGCCCAGTCATCGCGTTGAACGTGATCACCACGGGCTGCACGGCGGGCCCGCCCCCCTGTTTCCTGAGCCGACGTTGCGGTTGTCTTTTCTTCGGGCGGCAGCGTTGCAAAGTCGAACCAATTCCAGTCCTCCTACGCCTGGAAGGTCGCCATGAGCTCGGCAGCTTTTTCCGTCGGTAGGGCGTTCGCGCACGCCGCCCTGCACCACTGCAAGAGCGCCTCGCGGGCTTTCGCCGTCGAGGGGTTGGCCCCCTTGACCACGACAGCCATAGCGCTGGCGCACTGGATGTTGATGTTGGTCAGAAACTGAACCACCGCCGAGGCGTTGTTGTCCAGGTGTTTTGCGATTTCGGTTCTCAGGGCCACGTGGCGCGCGTGGAGAACATCCTCCATGGGCCGCAACTGCGGCTCCAGGGTTCGCTGCTTCCACGCAGGTTCGGGTTCGATGCACCAGCCTGGCGCCCCCGTCTGTTTGGAAGCCTTCCTGGGCGGCAACCTGTAGGCCCGCATGATGATGGCCACATTCACGCAGGGGAACTGCGTGCTCACCTCCCCCACGAGGCCGAACGCAGGCAGGCGCAACATTCTCGTAGCAGAATTGACGTACGTCTCGAGGAAGTCGATGAGTTCCCGTATGCTAGGGCCTCCATCGGCGCCCAGGTTCAGGATGAAGTTGAAGAAGTCGCAAAAGGAGGGGTCGGAGGGGAAGCTCCTCAGTCGGGCACCTGCCGCCTGCATCACGCTCTCGTAGGTGGTTGTGTCGCTGCTGTCCGCCTTTGCGTTCTTGATCTCTGAGGAGAGTACTTTCATCGCCTCCACATCCGACACTCGCATGGGGAACACCTGTGGCCGATTAATGGCCTGGGCTACGATGGAGCAGCTCTGTTCGCCAAGCATGACATCAGGGCCCAGCACCTCGTAGAGCATCCCCTCCTCCACGAGCTTCTGCGCCACAGGGTCATTGTCCGCCACTGCGGACATCATCAGCAAGCCTGTGCCGACCACCCACATTGGCTGCAGCATTGCCACCTGCGCAGGGGTCAGGTCGTCTGTAGGGATCTCCCACTTTGCCCCCGCGTCGATGGCCCGCAGAATGATTGCCAAATGCGAGTGCGAAAGCGTGTCGTAGGGAACTGCGGCGCCACTGCCGCATAATATTTCAAAAAGGCACCCTTTGGCCTTGTCCTTGCAGTTCTGCGTGAACGAAGTGTACCCCACCATGCCCTTTTGTTTCTCCACGGGAAAGTCCCTGACGCACACCCCCTCGAAGTCGGCTTCCGCCTGGTGGAGCCCGATGCAGGTGATCTCGCACGCCAGCGAACGCACACTGCTACACTTTGGGAACACGCCAACCCTGTTAGCGGGGCGTGGCCCCAGCAATCGTACTGGCCTTTGGAGGGGAACGCAGAACTGCGTGTCCGAACGTTGTCGCGCCTGGGGCTTTGCTGGAGGCTGCCACTGCAGCCTTGGCCGCCACTGCAGCATTGTTGCCTGAGGCGTCCCAGGGCACCATCGTCGATTCCGTTGAGCCCGCCCCTTGAGCCAAGGGGCGCCGCGCGGCCAGCGGCCAGCTGTTGGAGCCGCGCGCGCGGTCGAGGCGGGGACAGGACAGGCAAGATGGTAGACGTCATCGCTAATTATCACCATTGTCATCACCGATGTCATCGGAGTCGATATCGCCACCGCCATCACCAACGTCATCGTGGCCACTATCGTCATCATCATTATCACCATCGTCATCGCTAATTATCATCATCGTCATTTACGAACGTCATCGTCCTCATCATCGTCATCGTTTCATCGTCATCATCACCACCATGACCAAGGTCATCGTCGTCGTGGTTATCTGATGGTGGCGGAGATGATGACGGCGATGTTGGCACGAAGTAATTCGCTGACACGACTTAATTCGTCGCAAAGCTTCCCGAAAAAAAGGCAGTGGCGGAAGCTGGTCTGCGATTCCTACAACTGGCGGCCGCCACTGCGGCCTACGCTGCCACCTTATCACTGGTTGCGGCCCGACTGGTAGCCCAAGTCGCCTGGGGGCATCCCGTTGCCGCGCTCTCTGTCGAACCTGCCAGCCCCCGTCCTGTCGAGGTGCTTGTAGTACTTGTACGTGCCAGCGCCATTACTGCCGCCGCAGCCATCCCTGGGTGGAGGCACGGTAGATGCGCGCGGGTCAGCCTCGCACGTGTCGAATTCCTTGGTTTTCCAATTGGGGTGGAAGCGGACAACCGACAAGTCCTTGCGGTAGACCACGACGTCGTTGTTGTCCTGGTGTTCGCCGCGTTTGTCGCCCCTGTGGTGCCAGGAGGCGAATCAGCGTTGGTGGCCGTAGCTGTTGGGGCGGGCGGACACCACGTACCGAACAAGGCCGCCACTGCAGCCATCAGGCCCGTTGGCCACCTGCGCCCTAGTTTCTGGACTCATCTGAGCGATCATCTCCAGCCAGCTCCACGAGACTTCCTCGCCGTCCCAGACGTCGCAGTGCATGTTGTGTTGTCATGTCTTCTTAGGCGGGTTCCAGAATCTGCCGATCTGCATGGTTGCCTCACAGACGACATCTCCTCCTGTGGTTTCGGCCACACGACGCCACCACTTCAGCGCAGCGTTGCGCTGACGGCACGACGCCGTGATCGGGCGACTTTCGAAAACACATGGGTCGACCGCCCTTGCGGGCGCCGCCACTGCGGCGGCACCCCCTTGCCCGACCTCGGCGACAGGGGCTCTGTTTCGCAAGCGCTCCCTGAGCATCTCTGCGGGCGGTGGGGGTTCCCAGAGACGCAACTGCATTGGGCGGGGCGGCCGGGCTGCGTCGCGCTTAGGGGTGGCAACTGGGGGGGCTGGCGGCTGCGGCCCTGCCGTTGGCGGCGGCGCTGCCGCTGCTGGTTCGCGGGTCGATGTCCAACGGCTTGAGGAGCCGTCCGTGGACGACGGGCGGGCCGCCACTGCAGCCTGGACTGGACTGGCCTGGCGGCGTCGAAGTCCGCGGTCGTCCTTCAGCTGTTCGAGCGGGCACTGGGTCACTGCCCCACGAGCAAGCTCCCCCTCGCGCTCGGCCCCCTGCCGCGCAATCCACCAGTCTCGCGTCTCCCACCACCCGTTGTCCAAGCCCTTCCAGCTGTCCCAGCCGCTCGACGGGCCATCCAACCACTGCCCCTCCTCGTGGCCGCCACTGCGGCCCTCTTGCGCCCAATCGCCCGAATCCTCCTCGGCCGCCACTGCGGCCCCCTGGCCGCCACTGCGGCCTGCGCGCGCCATGGGCCTGGGGTCGTCCGCCGCGCTCTCGCGGCCCTCGGCCACGGAGGGGAGGGCTGGGCCGAGTGGCCGCGGGCGCCTAGCGGACAGGGACCGCGGGCGCCGACTGCAGTCCGCGCGGGCCTCGGCGAGCGCCGCGCGGGGGTCCGCCGCGGAGCTCATGGCTTGAGCTTGCTCGGTGGGGAAAAGCTACAGGCAAGAGGAAGAGAAAGAAGACGGGAAGAGATGGGAAGACGGAACGAGAAGGCGAGAACCGAAATAAGAAGAGAGCAAGGGGGAAGTAAGGGAGAGAGAGAGAGAGAGAGAGAGAGAGAGAGAGAGGGGGAGAGAGAGAGAGAGAGAGAAACAAAAAGAGAGAGAGAGAGAGAGAGAGAGAGATGGGAGAGGGGGGGGGGAGGAAAAA